GGGCCTGACTTCCAAATGCCAGCACCCCACCTCTTTGCCAAAGGCCCTTCTTTGTCCTTGTGCATACACACACACACATGCATGCATAGCAGGACAGAAGTGCTGGGGAATTCACACGGCCCTCCACCGATGACTACTGAGTCACCCCAGCTCCCTCACCTCTCAGGCAGCACATCTCTGAGACATGGCTCTTTCCCCACTTCCCAGAGTCCCCCAGTGGGATTTGGTGCCAGTTGCCCCCAATGATAGCTGGATTGATAACCCCCCTTCCATTAGGGGCATCCACAGTCTCACTTCCGCACTCCCCTACTGGCGTTAGGATCACCTGTCTAATAAACTGCCTGTGCTCACACCTTGTCTCAGGGTCTGCCTCTGAGACCAGGACCACCACACTGCCTCTCACCACCAAGAAAACAATGATAGTTCCACTAGTCCTGTTAGCAGAGGTGGAGGTGCTGGGTGGAAACAGGAAAGAACAGTGATAACCATTCTGGTTTCTGTTGCAGCAAAGAAAAGGCGGGCCCACCAGGCTAACACTGCCCTCCAAGTCCACGGTGAGTTGGTTTGGTTCTCTGTGCAGGGCCTGGTGGAGGGACGGTGGGCTGCCAGGGAATGGCAGGTGGTGTCTGCTGCTAAGATGGAGGGATGGGGGAGGGTAGCAAGGACCCCCTCGGACTTGACAGGTCAGCTCTTCCAGGAGGAAACTGGGTTGCAGGGAGAGAAATGAAAACCAAGGAGAGAACTAAAACATTATAAGGTCATTGGTGATATTAATGTCAATATGTTACCAGTAATTGTTAATAATAATGGTCATAATAGCTATAGACATGATCATTCATGTGCCGTGCCAGATACTGCACTACTAGTTTATTCTCACAACCCTGTGAGATCCGTGCACCTCAGCACTCCCATCTTGTGAGGACTGCAGGGATCGTATTTCCTTTTATTGTGCTGCCCCACTATCTTTGATGCGTGGTGTCCGCCTCATGGACCAAGAAGGCTGCTCAGCCTCCAGCCATCTTGTCTCCATTCCAGCCAGCTGGAAGGAGGAAGAGGCAGAGAACATGCCCCTTCCCTGTAAGAGCCTCTGTGGAAGTTCCTCTCCAATGTCCACTTACCCTGCATTGTGCACATCTAGCCCGAGCCACACTTAACTGCAAGGGAGGCTGGGAAGTCAGCCTTGCCTCAAGGCCTCCAGGGGGCAGCTAATGCTCCAGGAGACCAGGAGGCAGAATGGACATTGCCCTCAGCCACCTCACAGTCTAGCACACGGGTGGGGGTCGATCTCTTCAGGCACTGGAGTTGAGGGCGGCCTCGGTGTTTGCATGTGGGAAATGGTCTGGAGCTGCTGTCTGGGAGAGTGAGGCAGCCCGCCACTCACATGCACACAGACACGCCCGGGGAGGGACATGGCCTCGGAACACCCCTGCTGGTGACTCAGGTGTGAGTCACAGTGCTGAAGGCTTTCTCCTCCACCCACAGCTGCCAGAGGCAGTCCCTCCCTCCCTGCCATCCCCCCTGGCCCAACCCACCAGCCATGGGTCACCTCGGCTCCTGGGATCTGCAGTCCCCTGGAATAGTTCTCTGTAGGGCGAGGGAAAGGAGGTGGGAGAGGAGTTAGGAGGGCTCAGGGTCTCAGGAGCCCTCAGAAGCCTCAGGACACCCTGAGACCCCCACGTCTGTTTGCAGGACGCTGACTTGGCCCGCCTGCTCAGCTCTGGCTCCTTCGGAAACCTGGAGAACCTCAGTTTGGCCTTCACCAATGTAACCAGTGCCTGCGCCGAGCACCTCATCAAACTGCCTTCTCTCAAGCAGCTGAACCTGTGGTCCACGCAGGCATGTCCTGCCACCCGCCCCACCGCTGCCCTGCCTGCCCTTCTCCCTGCCCCT